CCCCCCGCCCCCCAGCCAGTCTCTGCTGTGATTTCAGGATCTCGCAGGGCACAGGGGTAGACGAGGGGGAGGGAAAAAGAGAGGAGACAGACAAGCAGATAAAATAAAATACAAACCCAGGAGAGACAACAGTAAACGACAGCATGGTAGACAACTATGAAAAAGAGAGAGGGGAAAAAAAAAAGAAAAAAAAAAAAAAAAAGAAGAAGAAGAAGAAGCTGGACCACCTTCTTACACCATATTCAAGAACAGACTCAAAATGGATTAAAGACTTAAATGTAAAACCCGAAACCATAAAACTTCTAGAAAAAAACACAGGCAGTAAACTCTCTGATATTACTAACAGGAATTTCTTTTCAGCTATATCTCCTGGGACAAGGGAAACAAAAGAAAAAAATAAACAAATGGGACTACATCAAACTAAAAAGTTTTTATACAGCAAAGGAACCATCAACAAAACAAAACAAAAAAACCGTTTGGGAGGAGCTATTTGCTAATGATACATCTGATAAGGGGTTAATATCCAAAATATATAAAGAACTTATACAACTCTACAACAAAAAAACAAACAGTCCAATTAAAAAATGGGTGGAAGGCCTGAACAGATACTTCTCTTAAAAGGAAATACAAATGGCTAATAAACATATGAAAAGATTCTCAAGGTCGCAAACCATCAGAGAAATGCAAGTTAAAACCACAATGAGATATCACCTCATACCTGTCAGAATGGCTATCATCAATAAATCAAAAAACAGCAAGTGCTGGCAAGGATGTGGAGAAAAGGGAACCCTCATACATTGTTGGTGGGACTGCAAATTGGTACAGACACTATGGAAAACAGTATGGCGGTTTCTCAAAAAATTAAAAATGAATGTATCTTTTGACCCAGCAATTGCACTTCTGGGTATTTATGCAAAGAAAACCAAAACAACAATTCATAAAGATCTATGCACTCTAATATTCATGGCAGCACAATTTACAAGATATGGAAGCCAAGATATAGAAGCAACCTAATTGCCCATAAACAGATGATTGGATAATGAAATTATGGTTCATATATACAGTGGAATATTACTCAGCCATTAAAAAAATGAAACCCTACCATTTGCAATGGCATGGATGGACCTAGAAGTTATTATGCTGAGTGAAATAATTCAGATAGAGAAAGGTAAATACCATGTGATTTTACTTATATGCGGTATGTAAGGAATAAAAAGAACAAACTAATCAAAAACAGACTCACAAATATAGTGGACAATTTGGTGACAAACAGTGGGCAGGGGGGTTGGGGGGCTGGGAGAATGGGGTGAAGGGTTAAAGAAGCACAAATTAGTAGATAGCTAGTCACGGGGATGGGGAGCACGGCAGAGAGAATGCAGTTAGCATTAATATGATGTCTAGGTGGAGGGCCAGGAGAGGGAGGAAGCAACTGGGGGGATTGTTTTATGAACTATATAGATGTCTAACCAATGTACTGTATACCTGAAACTAACTTAGATAAATTAAAAGAAATGAATCAGGCACAGTTCTTGCCCTCAAGCAACTGTGGCCTGTAGGGGAGATAGAACATAAACTAATTACCACAAATTGTGGTATATCTTATTATAGACATATGTGCAAAATGCTACAAGAACACAGAGTGGGGGTGGGGAGAGTTTACCTGTGCATGGGGAAGTTGGAAAAAGTTTAAGGAAGGAGGTAAAAGGTATGAGTCATTTCCAAATGAACAGTTGTTTCTAGAAGAAAGTTATTCCATATGGAGCTTGAGAGGTTTGGAGGGAAGAAAGGAAGAAATACTGTGTGCTCTGAGAACAGTGAGCAGTTTATGATACAAGAAGGGGGAAAGAAATGAAGGAAGACAGGAAGAAGGTGGAAAGATATGGTCAACAGGTATATTCCACACACCCCTAAGTATTTCCCACAGTTTCAGGTGTTCACTAAGCAAAGTGTGCAACAGGTTTGCAAGGGTGGGGAGAGTTTAAGGTATATTAATAGCAGAATATCGCAAAGACATATAGTACTTCTTTAGTTTGATGAAGTGTGTGATTTTTAAACCTTTCTCGAGGCCTCAGAATGTTGCATACATTTCCACAAGGGTGCACAAAGGGAAGATGCACAATCAAAGCACCAGTCAGAAAGAGGTGAGGAGGTTTCCCATAGTGCAGCATAATGATTATAGGCTTCATTGTGCATTCGGCCCGTCTCATCAGCTATGAGTATCTAATTCGGCCACAAGCTGAGAATAAAGGCTGTTGAGGTGACCCTTTGAGGTACATACGTTAGTAAAATCGTGTTTAATCTGGCTAAATTAACACATATTACAATGCAAGGCCATTGCATACAGCTGTGCAGACTGCCCTTGAATTCCAGGGAGGCCCATTCATAAAGAAAACTGCCTCAGCCCTGCTGTGGGGAACGTCTGAGGAGGTGGTACAGGCAAAAGAAAGCAGCCCCCTCTGATCTGTCACCATTCAGAAACACACAAGGTGTGAAAAGATACAAGCTCTCAAATAGGTTATGCTTGATCATGAACCCCATTTGGATCACTGTATGATCTGGGGCTAGTTACTTCATCTCCCTGAGCCTCAGTTTGCTCATCTGTTAGGTGAGGCTAACAATACTTAGTCTACAGGACTGTTCTATGATTGATGCTATGCCTTCAGTACCCACACAGAATAGCTGGTCAGGAAATGGTATCCATTATCATTGGAGCATCCTGGTATCCCATCTGTGGCAGCTAAAATATCATTCAAGAATCAACCTCTCATAAACACGAGATTAGATTCAACAGAACAAAGTAAAACAAAGCACAAGACAAAATAACATCAAAACAAATGATCCACAGGTGCCTGTGTAGTCACAGCA